ATTTAGTTCTATTTATATACTATGAGATTGAAAGTATACTATTTTTTTTTACGGATTTTATAATATTTGACACAAGATATTCGTGCAACGCACGAATATAGATACTAATTATATTAAAAGTGGGAAGCTCTTAATTAAAAGATTAAATTACTAAATTACCCTTCTTAAAACCTAATTACCCTATTTATAAAAACAGACGCCTGCAAATAATACTAACTCTTCGTACCCTTTAGTAACAGTCATAACCATTCAATTCACAACTTACACAGTTTACAATAAATTTTAACAATGGTCAGAAATTCTTTTAGACCACTTGCTCCTCCACAAGAATTTTCAGCAGATCACTCTATGAAAAAAATGGTCTGAGATTAACAGTAAACTACCGAATAAGATTTTGTCCATCTTTTTATTGTTTTGATGCCTCAAGGAAAGAGAGGGTAAGCAAGGAGGCAGTTTCTCAAAAGTTTTTGGTGCATATGTTACAAAGCCGAACCTATACAATTTTAATAAAAAATACGTCCCTCTCATGATTCATGTTGGTAAAAGGTTTTCAAGTTATGCATCATGCCAAAGGCAAACACAACTCTTTATGAGGTGACACAAGCCTAAAATAAATTCAAAAATTAAAAGCTTGTTCTATCTGACTTTCATTTTGTGATGATTCGACACAATTTCAAAGTAGTAAATTGAGAAGAAAGAGATAAAATAACAGGTTCTACTTTCTTAATTCTACTTGTATTTATTTATGAATTTCTACTCTTTGTAAATTTTGTAAAACAATTTATCAAAAATATTAGAATACATGCCACACCTGTTACGATATTAAAATGCATCTTAAATTTAAAAGCAACCTCTTTGATATATATGCTCATTGTAATTACTTACTCCGTAACAAATAAAATAAATTTTAAATTAACAAATAACTATGTTACGTATGGATTGACATTCAAGTTATGAGATAATATGAAATACTTTATCTGCAAGGAAGATATCTAAACATTAAAACTGTTGTGCCATAATTAAATCATAAAAAATGATATTTATAATTAAAGAGTAAAGACATTATATGAAAGCATTGTCTTTTTAGAAGAAATGTGTATTATCGCAATGTCTTTAACTTGACGATGAAATGTAGTGAGCAAAGTTTGATACATAAATTTTATGAAAAAGCAACTTAGAATAATCAAAATTGTAGGGTGTTTGATTTATAATTAAAAGTCAATACTAGACTTATAGCATGTTTGGCCAAGCTGGAAAAATCTACTTATTTTGAGAAGTGTTTTTTTCAAAGGCGCTTTTAAGAAAATTACTTTTGGTGAGATGCAGTTGTGTTTTGCTAATCAACTTGAAAAGCACTTTTGAGCAGCAATTAGTATTTGGCCAAGCTGTTAAAAGGTGCTTCTAAGTGTATTTTTCTCAAAAGAACTTTTCAAAAAAGTACTTTTTGGGAGAAGCTATGTATTTTTGCTTCTCAAAAACTGCTTTTGTTTCTACTCAAAAACACTTTTTTCCTTCAAAAAGCTTGGCCAAACTCCTTAACTTTGAAGAAAAAAGTACTTTTGACCAAAAAAAAATACTTTTGGTCAAGAAACAAAATGGCCAAACAGGCTATTAGTATGTAATATAATGAGAAGTACTTGAAATATAAAATATTTATTTAAATTTTGTATCTCAACTCTCACAAAATTCTTGGTGAATATATGATCGTTTTGTATTATTTTTGATTTGTTGATTTAAGCAATGATATGAATGACAAGATAGAAACGATGGGTTTGTATCTTCCGCATATTAAAGAAAGGATCTCGGAAAAGTGATACCTTATTAGATATAAGATTAAAAGAAATAATTGGGTTATATATATTGAGTCAATATCTCATTCTTCGAGTAAGTGCTAAGTAAATTTAGTCAATTAAATATAAAAAGGCCACTACTTCATTTGATCCAAGTATCGAGTTAATTAAGAATGATGGAAAGAGTTGTGGCTTAATTAGATTGTGTATGCAAGCGCTTTCGGAAAACATTGACCGAGTTCTTTGTTTTACTAAGAAAAGTTATGAGTTCAATACTCAAAAGTTCCCACATGAGTAGGCAGCACGTGCAGAAACTAGTACATGGATATACATGTGATACACATTTGATATAAATATGATATATATGTGATACACAAATGATACACAGTATATCAAACATATTTTTTTTCTTGTTCATCTTCTATTTCGGTTTTTCAATTTAAACCACCAAATTATCCCAAAACTGAGATTCAAGCTCATTAAGATGTACTCAATCTATTCTAATAATACTCACTCAAAAGAAAGTAAAATTTTGACTTTTTTTTGCTACAAATAGCTAATTAGCTAATATTGGTAATAGTTAGCTAATATTATGAATATTTTATGAATTTATCAATTTTTATAATAAGCTACCTCAATTTTTATAATAAGCTACCTATAAATGGATATAGATGATAGTTTCACTTTTATATTTACGTCACAATCCAGTATTCAAATACGTTTGGAATCAAGAACATGAGATTTTTTCTCATGGATCACATGATTGCACAGTTGGTGACTTGCAATTTCGCCCGAACTGGGTGGGAGGGAGTTGTGTCAATTTCAAGCTGGCCCAATGCTCTTGACCACTCGAGCAAAAGAAAAAAAAAATCTCTAGCTTAGAGAAAGGTAATAAACTAATAATAGTTTCATTCTTAGTGTACTTTTCCATTAATGAAGCTACTTAAAATTAACACAATTTTATGACAAGGTTGTAAAGATAAAGGAAGTATGTAACGTATTCAAGGAGAGATTATTTTATGAAGATGTAGGAAAGGGGCACCTTCTCAAAGGTGGAAGGGTCCCAACAATCTGATAAACACATGATTTATCAGTCCAGCTGTTATTGATGTTGGTAACTAAGGAAATCTGTGTAAATCATAGTGCAAAGGAAAGTTGCCAATTGACATCTATCGAATTGTCAATTTTTGCAAGTAGCAAATCTCCCTGCTGATTAGAGAGGAAAGGAAGCACCTATTTTGGAGTGATTTCCAACTGGTTAACATGCATAGTTGATAGTAAAGAAACTTTCAAGTAGATTTGCCCTTAACGAGGGGAGCCTTGGAGTAACGATAGAGTTGTTTCCATGTGATCCTTTAGGTTACAAATTCGAGTGATGGAAGCAATCACTAATGCTTGCATTACGATAGACTATCTACATCACATCTCTTAAGGTACGATTCTAACCCCGATCCTGCATAAATATGAGATGTTTTGTGCACCGAAATTGACCTTTTATTTGTTCTTAATCTGCACAAAAACAAATCACTATATAAATTCCAGAAGCCGAGCTTTGGTGTTGCCCTATCTTGTTGGAGTAGAGTGCCCTTACTATTTTTGGTGTATTGATTGGCTAGCTAGCACTCTGGTCCCTCCTTTGACCAACTTAGAGGGCATTCCGCACAATGACCAGTGCAATTCGTGTATTTGTCGGTAGATGGTATAAATGAAGTAAGGACATAGTTTTTCGTATGTATTTATCTTGTCATTAAGAGGAGGGCAGATCCCTAGTTACATATGGTTTATAGGGCCGGTTACCAAGGTAGAAAATATCTAACATTGTACAAATGAAGGTGTGCCAATCAAAATGCAATCTATAGCCAAACTAAGGAACATGGTGAGGTCATTTCCTTCTTGATTGAAGACATAGCAACCGCATATCAGATATGTAATCCTGAAAAAGGAAAAGTACTCTCAAAGATAAGTACTGGACGACTACGTTAAGCCATAGAGGGACCATTTTTTCGTGGGCAGACAAAAACCAAAAATTTGCAGTGAAGTGAAGCCATCAAAAGATATTGGCAAATCCTAAAGATTTTGATATGTGGGGTCCTCTACAAAAGGCAATTGGGGCTAGGATTAGCTTTTGTGCCATTATTTCTACCCTCAAAATGATGATAGAATGAAACCCACTTTCTTCTCTTTGTTTCATGGAAAACAAGTACTGTACCTCTGTTCATCCTGAACATGTACTCACCTATGTCCCATATTATCTTTCGTATTTTTATTTTATACGTTCTTTAAAAAATATTAAATATAAAAGATTTTAAATTATTTAAATCTTATTTATGTCTTAAAATATAATTTCTTTTCCTTTATTACTTACTCATAATTAAGGTATTTGTAGTATTCAAGAACAATTAATATTAAGGGTAAAATAGGAAAAAAAAATTAATTTACTCTAAAATTTTTAAAATGATAAATAATTTAAGGCAACTATTTTTAGAAACTATTAATATGAGATACAGGGAGTACTCTTTATCTAGACACGGCAAGAAAAAAGAAAATATGTACTGTCTTAAAGTACTAAAGACTAATACTAGTAGTGGGTTAAATCAAGCCATTAAACTAGAATTCAATCTTGATAAAACATTTTGCATTATTCCCTGATGAGTGGCTAATGTTGCTTGCAGAACCTTTATCTGGGTGACAGTCATATTCTTGGAATATAAAGGCTAATAATAAGACATGATTTGTACTGATTTTGTATCTTCGAAAGAAACTGTGTTGTGAGGACACAAAGGCAAATAGTCCAATTGGAGGAAAAATCCTGTCCTTAAGTTAACCTATCATGGCCTTTGAACAAATTAAATGCCATGCAGCTAATTAAGGTAATGGCAGAACAAGAGTGAAAAAATAAGCTGTCCACTAAAAAGCTTACTGTTTTCAAATAAGCAGCTTGAAAAGAGTTAATTGATCTCTCTCCAAAGAGGCTATGAATTCAATAGGTCCAAGGTTGGTAGTGCAGGTAGATTTAAAGAAGAAGCCATTGGAACAAAATCCACCTCTTCACAACCGGTGGCACCCGGAGATACCTCCAGTAGCAGAGGTACGAGTTGGGGAGGTGTTCAGGGTTGAGATGGTGGATTTTAGTGGAGGCGGCATAACACAAGAATACACTGCCGAGGACATCAAGTATGCTGATCAGTCTGTTGTGAGTTTCTGATAGCACTCAATTATGTGTTACTACTTCCCCTTTAGAACTAGTACTAGTACTTACGTGAAAGGAAAAAGTTGAACACCAAGTTAATAGTGATAGTAATAGATAGAAGGATTATTAGGTGATGATAAGTGATCATCCTGCCCATCACAAACAAGAATGAGCAACAAATTTGTTACCGATGAAGCTTAGCCTAGGATTCCAAGGCGTAGCATCCAAACTAGGGAATTTCCATGATGCGGTTTCTATATTTCACTTAAATTTAAGAATCAGACATGAAGAAACAGGGGGACAGGGACTTTGCCTTTGCCAAAGGCAAAACCTAAGCATCGAATCCTCCCCTGTAAAGTAGGAAAACGCCCAAAATACGAGTGTAAATTGCTTTGACTACCGAGATTTCCAACTGGAGCTATCAATATCAACTGAGCAATTCTTTGTGAGAGAGTTTTAAGTTTTTGCCTTAAAAATTCTCTTGTTTGCTTTATAAGTTCAAAATCTATTGAAGCTAGAAAGAGCTATTTCATGTTCTAAGTTCATTGGGTTGGATTAAACTAGTTGGTTTAGTAGGAAGATAAATCATATCTTTCATCATAAAAAATATATCCTAAATCTCTTGCCTCAGGAAAAAATACTAAATCATCCTTTGGTCACGCTTCTTTAACGATGAATACAATTGTGAAGTCTGTCCAATATCTTTAGTCATTTTCAAGAGGGCAGACCCTGACCATTACAGAGATGTGACTCCCATTTGTCATCTAGAAACCTTAGTCGCAATAGTCACTTGCTTCCCTGTGAGTGCCATGTAAAGAAAGTAAACATTCTCAAAATTTCATAAAACACTAAAGTCGCCATGGCTCCTCCAACTCCAAGACTAGTAATCCCCATAGACCTAAAGAAGAAGCCATGGGAACAAAAGCTACCTCTCCACAATCGTTGGCACCCAGAGATACCTCCTGTAACAAAGATTAAAACCGGGGAGATGTTCCGAATTGAGATGGTTGATTGGACAGCAGGTGCTATTCAAGATAATAACTCTGCAATTGATGTAAAAACCATTGATCTATCCACTGTAAGTATGCATAAACTTATCCACATCCAGTGAATCTAACCAACAAAAGAGTCCTAAGTTTCAGAAACTCCCTGGTCGAAATAAATAGTTGAAAATTGGAATCAGTTCAGGCTAAATCACATAACTCTCTCATGCAGGTCCATTATCTTAGTGGACCAATAAAAGTTGTAGACACGGATGGAAAGCCAGCTGAACCAGGTGACCTTCTTGCTGTTGAAATATGCAACTTGGGGCCTCTCCCCGGAGATGAATGGGGTTTTACTGCCATATTCGACAGAGATAACGGTGGAGGATTTCTAACAGACCATTTCCCTTGTGCAACTAAAGCCATTTGGTATTTCGAAGGGATATATGCCTACTCACCTCATATTCCAGGTAAAGCTGCAAGCCTTATCCTAATATAGCCTGGACAAATATACATATCAAATCCTAATTAGATTTACTGGACATCTCAAGGACAGGTGTAAGATTTCCTGGTTTAGTTCATCCTGGAATAATTGGAACAGCGCCTTCAAAGGAACTACTCAATATCTGGAATGAGAGAGAAAGGAAGCTTGAAGAAACCGGTCCCCAGTCTCTCAAATTATGTGAGGTCTTGCATTTAAGACCATTGGCTAACCTACCTTCGACAAAGGGGTGCATTCTTGGCAAGGTATGATCACTTGCAATTGTTTCAGAAACTGAAGAGAGGCCTCATTGGCTCATTCACTCCATAACAGTAATTTACCTGTTAAACTAAACCTAATCTATAAAAGAAAGAGACAACAAATTATGCATCAATGCATTGCAGCATGAAGTTAGTGCATCCAGGAAACAGAATATAATCCAGTCATAACAATATGAAAACTGATAAAAGAATGCAAAAGAAAGAAAAAAGAGAGAAAAATGAACAAACTAAGCACATCAAGTTTTTCTGACAAGTCATAATTATATGTAGATTCAAGATGGAACTCCTGAGTGGAATAGGATTGCCAATGAGGCTGCAAGAACAATACCTGGACGCGAAAATGGAGGAAATTGTGACATCAAAAATCTCAGCAGAGGTTCAAAAATATACCTTCCTGTATTTGTAGAAGGAGCAAACCTCAGTACTGGTGATATGCATTTTTCTCAAGGCGATGGCGAAGTAGCATTTTGTGGGGCAATAGAGATGAGTGGCTTCCTAGAGCTCAAGTATGTTCCACATCTCATTAACAACAAATGGTTATGAATAAATAATCTTTTTCTGCCTTGGGGTTGACTGCCACCAGAGTCGATCCTTTACATCAACCAGTAAGCTCAGGAAATAAAATCATATGCACCATTTTATTACAAGCAATATCAAGTAACTTGGAACTAGGTTCTATTTATAACTCTGGGCTAATTTTACTCTGCAACCCCCCTTTCACATTGCTGCTGTTGCTACATCTATGTTAGCCATCTTAAGGTACCCACATATAGCATCAAGAGCTCTTCTAACTTATGCGCTACACCTCTGCATTTATAAGCTAACAGTACAGATGTGGGAGATGTTAAATTTACCTATTTCTTTTTGCTTGGATCAGGTGTGAAATCATAAGAAATGGAATGAAAGAATATCTTACTCCTATGGGACCCACACCGCTACATGTGAACCCAATATTTGAGATAGGGCCTATGGAACCAAGATTCTCAGAGTGGTTGGTGTTTGAGGGCATCAGCGTAGATGAAAGTGGACAACAGCACTATCTTGATGCAAGTGTTGCTTACAAGCGTGCAGTACTAAATGCAATTGATTACCTGTCAAAGTTTGGCTACACAAAAGAACAGGTATTAAGAATCTCTCACTGAAAATTACTCTTGTAACAGAAGATTTTCAGGACCACATAACATAAACATCCAGAAGAAGAAAGCAATTTGAGTAACTATGAATACTTATTATTATTGTGACCACAATGATGGTGGTGGCTATCAGGTGTATCTTCTACTTTCGTGCTGTCCCTGTGAAGGAAGGATTTCAGGAATTGTTGATGCCCCCAATGCTGTTGCCACACTTGCCATTCCAACTGCTATATTTGACCAGGTACTAGAAGTTTTCAGAGTTCAATCATGATAAATTATAAAAGTTGCAACCTACAAGTCCAATAAAGGTTACCATCATTTAGTGACTCCAAACCTTGATATTGCTAAATCTCCCGGGCTACTAGGCATGGAAGTGTAAAACTGTAAAGCAGCAATTTTGGTCTTGATCCAAAATCCACCTAAAACCTGATTCTAAGAAATCAGTTCCTCTATTTTCAGTATTCATGAGCAGGAAGTTCTGGTTTGTTCCAAAAGAATCGGTTGTTTGATGCAGGATATTCGCCCAAAGGTCAACAAAGTGCCTCTTGGGCCAAGACTTGTGAGGAATCCAGGAATTCCACAATGTACTTATGATGGAAGCCTGCCAATCACCAAAAATCCCTCGCTCCATTAACTACAAGGGAGCAGCTGCAACATAGATGCTCTTTCTTGAGCAGGGGATGTGCATGTAAATCTACTGCAGGAAGATATGACGAAGTTGAAGAAAGAAGCAAAACTGAGATGAATAATGCCCTACTAGACCTTCTAAACATGTAAAGATGTAGACATGTTCATCTTAAATGTAATAGCACGCACAGTATTAAGAATGAGATCATAAGTAGTTTGTGGATCATATCATGGAAAACTTCATAGTGGGACTAATCATTCTAATGAGGTCTAAAGAAGATATCCTCGTTGAAATATCTCCACCATAAAGAATCATGGAAACAGTCGAAGTCAATAAAAAATCCAGGACAAAGATGGCCAATTAAGCAAAAAGTCATGCATTCCAGCCATCATTTACCATTAAAGAAAATAAAATCTGTATGTAGGTCAATTTACAGAAATCTAACGAGATTGAAAGAGGTTAAATAACTGATATTCGACCTCCATACTCTTTAAAGAAAGTGAATGCACCACTAGGAGGGAAAAGAATCCTGTATAAATCCTGCACTCTTACACCTAGATGCATAAATGTCAAAATTCCTTGAACACCAAAAAAGTCATTTGAATGCAAGACTGCAATGGAGATGGAGCTTAATTCCTGTAGTCAATAATAGATAGAGAGTGTCCTGTGGTGTTGAAGAGACGGGCATTTTATGCCAAAAGCCCATAACCAAAGATCCAGCTCCACGCTCAACACCTGGAAAGTAAAACGAGATGTCACATTTTAGTGAAAATGAAATTCAATCAATGAAAATTGGAAAATTGGGAACTCGGTTTCGAATACACACAAAACGGGAATAAACAAGTAAAGAACACAGCTGACATGTCAGACTAACTGTTACACCACTAACAGCCTTACTTATATATTTCTTGTACAATGAAATCAGGTATAGAGCCACAGCTCATGTACAACTTACATTGGCCATTGGACATGTAACTCACCCTTTTATCCTTTCTTGTATTTAAATGGGAGATATAGATATACAACACTTAAGAGGTCAACATGACATAAGGATTGTAACTTAACTGGAACTTGCCAAGCATAAAAGCTAAATAGTCTTGAACAATGAGATAATCAAGTGCACTACTAGCATCATGATTCAGCAACATGCACCTAAGCTGTACTCTACTGTTGACTGGACTATAAACAGTTTCAGATTCAGAAGTATCAAGCAGCGCAGACAAAGGCATTGCCAAAGGATGAGAGCCACTTTTTTTAGTTTCTCCTCTCTTTCTTTATTTTATTAAGACTCTAGGAGACAGATCTGAACAAGACAAAAATTTGGAGGAACACAAAAGATGCCATCTCATATTTATGGTTTCTTGTTCCAATAGGCAATAGTTATATATTAGAGAGTCAAAAGACCCATATAAAGTAGATTGTATTTTACTCCATTTTGTAAAATTTTAAATCAAAGATAATACATTAATGATCCGAAATGAACAATTTAGATGGCAGGATTTCTATTAACATCAGCTGCTTAGCTGCATTAAAGCTGAAAGAATGATTTTCTCTGTAGATTAGTCTATTTCATGAAGTCATCTATCTGTGAATCCAGGAAATTATTGGTCTTCTACGTGAAGTAAATGGAATAGACTTAAACAAGAAGTACGCATTTTTCCATTCAACCCTTCAATAAGAGACACCAAGCTTTACACATGCAATAAATAAATACTCATTCTATAGAATTTGACTTTCAGCCGAGTATAAGTTATGAATCACCAAATCTGACCACTGAAGATACGAGAAGAGCAATATAATAGCAATGAGCTAGACCAACCTGCTTCCCAGTCTTTTTACTGATCAACTCCTTCATTTGCTCCACAGCATAGACAGAGCAGGCTCGGAGTTCTACCTCCTCCTCACTGCCAGAGGTAATTTCAGTATTTTTCTTGATAATACTGGCCACGGATGAACTATATCTCAGCACTCCGAGCTGCTGAAGGACAGCTGGAACAATATAATCAGCAAATATGGTTATTGAGCTTATGTCTTCAAAATCACCATATCCTTGACCCTTAAACGCACCCCATAAATCAGCCGCAAAAATTTGAGCTCTTTTATACAAGAAAATCTGGTGGCCTTTGTACACCGTGTGATCACGGAAGCCTGCAACAGTAAAATAAGCAAAGATAAATATATTATCATTGGAAATAATGATCAAATGTATCATGTAAAAGGAAAACTATAGAAAACAAAGATACCAGGAAAGTGGCTAGCGATAAGAGCGACAAGATTTGCAGCAGATTTGTCGCAGGACTCCACAAGCTTAGATGCCTTTCCGCCAAAGCTCCTCTCAAGCTCAAGCCCAACCTTAGCCATGAGAGCTATTAGCTTAGTTAACAAGCTTAGAAGAACACATAATTGATTCACACCGCAAACTACTGGAACGTTAAGAGAATGCATGGAACACCAAATGAAAAAATTAGAAGTGTACCTCATGCAATAAGCGCACCCGTTCATCCTCCAAAGGCAGTGGTCTCGGCCAGTTCAACATTTTCCTTAACTGAGGACCTAAAAATAGGTGTTTGAAATTTAGCAGGGAAAGGCTACAAGATTTCAGAACTTGAAAACTTATATATATATAGCAAATGTGAGTTGCTTCACATGACTTTCCAAACACAAGCAGAATTGAAGATGCTTTCTAGAAAATTACTTTAGTGCTGAGCTCTAATATTTTATTGATCTTAGGCGTCTCTATTGTAGCATCAGTTATGATCCATCTAATACTTTATTAATCTTATGCGTCTCTACTGCTGCATCAACTAAATCCTTTTCCATTTCCTTAACCTTTAGAATGATGAACAAATTTACAATTGTAGGTTGGTACTAAAGATTTAAGAGAGTGAGTATCATTTCAGAGAAAGACTACGATTTCTCACAATTTTTTTGTCCATGCATATAATGAGCTACTTCAACAAGAAAAGAAGATTCAAACTGAAGAATCAAAATCGATTCTTCTCTTTTGAATCTTGGATTACCTCACTTCTAATAGTTGTGTAGGGACCTCAAATTTAATGATCACAAAGGCATTCTCCACAGAGGGTAGTTTATTTGGGTTGAAAGTGATTGGATCGTCAGTTAGGTATTCAAAAGCAAGAGTGAAAGTCATTGGCATTCTTAAGAGACCACACGTGTATACACATCGAGAAACAGTTCACTGGACATTCTTATACAGAACCCATGCACCATATAATTTCTGGAATTTCTTATTCCCCTGAGCGCCATCAGTGGACACCTAGGAGTCTCGTGCCCCTACAAGAATGCTTTTCCCACGGGAGGGGTGGGGAACAGAAGCATAGCAGAACAGAATCCAAAGAAACCTGCTTACCTGTATATTTCTGTAGACGATCAGCATCAAATGCAGTTTTGTCACTTTCAAGAGTAGCCTTCAATCCAGATGCCAGATGATCATAACTCAGGTCCTCATCTGCAGTTAGAAGTAAGCAAAAAGGTCATTAGGCCAGAGTATACTATCAAACAACTGAAATGAAAAACAGCCATACGATTTTTTAGTGAAGCCCCAGCATCAAGCATCATGAATAGGGTTCTGTACTAAAAACTTTCTTGATTGACATAAATGTCCAAGTTATATGCTTTGGAAAAACCAATGCAGTTCCAAATACTGGCATGTACTCCGACACAGACAGAGAATCAAATAAAAGCAAATTCAGTTGTATTACTACAGTTAGGGGTGTACATAGGTCGAATTGGTTTGGGTTTTTCAGTTGCCAAACCAAACCAATGGTGTCGAGTTTTTAAATCTATAAACCAAATCAAACCAACAAAGTCGGGTTTTTCAATTTCATTTTTTCTCGAATTTTTCAGGTTTTCCGGGGGGTTTCTCGCGTAAAGTATTCATAGCACAAAATTTATAACTTGTACTCTAAATATTTCTTTAGTCCTAGTAGGATACAACTATATAATGTATTTTCCAAGAAAATAACATAGCATTGTACTAAAATATTCAATAATATAGATAATGAAATCACATAAAATAAATATTGCTAATTAATAAGCCATAATAAAATGAATATAATCTACAAGTAATAAGTCATGATAAAATAAGTACGGTTAAATTACATGAATAAACAATAAGGAAAAAAATGAACTAAGTTATGCATTTTTATTACAAACCAATGCAAAACCAAAAAATATATATCCAACCCACTGTCATCCTAGTGTTGAATTGAATTTCTTTTGTTAGCATTAGTATTGATTTGAACTTTATTTGAGTTGCTACATTAAGTCCAACCTTAAAATAATACGTTAAAAAATAAAATCATGAAAAAGTTTTAAAAAAATTTATAAATTACATTACAAGAAATATTTTTATGTATAAAATATTTTTAAAAGCTATATAAATGTAATGTCGGATTGGTTTGGTTTCAGTTTGACTTTTTTTAGTTAAAACCAAACCACAATCGGGTTTTTTTTATCCAATTTGACGCGGACTATCGATATGGTGCATTTTATAGATTTTCTTTGTACACCCAGTTAAAGAAAATAATTTGCAGACAACTATAACAGATTAAACCTTTGTCAAATTACAACTTTATTCAAACTTGTTAAAGTACCTGGCCAGAAGCAGAAATTCAATGTATCCAAGACCAACAAGTATTGAACAGTGAGTGGGCCGTTATCAAAATAGTGTATCCCTTCAAAATCCCACTCCACTTTCGGCAATGTATTCTTCATAGTTTCAGCAACCTTCTCAATGCCTGCGCATAACACATGCTAAATGTAATCTTATTTATCAAATACAGGCCACTTTAAACAACCATTAAACGTGACTCTAAAAAATATAAAATAAATAAATAAAAACAGAGCATTGAAGTTATTTCTAGGCCCTCGCTCCGGAACAAAGCGTAATGAACACGGAGGATTCTTATAACGGACTCTAACTAATTTGAGACCGAAAATTAATTCAATGCAGACAGATAATGCATTGGAGTAATGTAGTAAATAACAACATAGAGAGAATGCAAAGGAACCTGAGAAATCAACGGTAACATGAGAGGAGTGAGTAGAGACCCAAGCGGTGCTGGACCTAACTTCTTCCATGGCGGCCCGAGAACCTCACCGCAGAAGATCAAAACCCTAGTAGCTTAACAATGGAGACGATAAATGAGAACCACTGGTTTTTGCGCCAACTGAAGTTTCGCGCTAACGTTTTTGTGCTATTC